GTACTCGAGGTAGGCAACTGCACCAAGGAATCCGTATCCAAATACTAGGATAACAATCTGGATACTGATGATGGCAATCTGAATACCGATGATAATTGTGAAGCGCTCAAAGTTGGCGGGAACCTGCAACATCGCAGGAGGGGTAGATGCAAAATCTATGCTGTCGCTCGGAGAGAAATATTATATATTTGACGGAACACGAACCTTGCAGCATGCACGCCACTGACGCAGCCTGGACCATAGAAGTGTTCGAGCAGAATCCGTGATCCGGATTGAATGCGCGAGACGTACGCAATGAAGGTGGTGAACAACGCAGCAACTCTCTATATTAACATGGGGAATAGATACAGGCACATCGCGCGTCGTTTAACCTCTTGATTCGCCCTGGACAAGTCCTCGGGAACTTGAAGGCGAGCTTAGCGTCAAGGACATACTAAAAATGTATGACATCCAACGTTTCCCTTGTGACTCTGTTCAAGGTTCAGGTTCATAGATGGTAGCAATGTATGTATACCAAATGTATACGATGACTTGCCTGCCCAATTTGCTTTTGCTAAGAAATTAAATTTCAGCGCTATAGATATTTCGAACTTCGAAGAAGCTCACTGTGGCACCGGGAGAAATACGCTTAATTTCCAGTACCTGCAATAAATCGCACCCTCAGCGCGCAGTGACCCTAGAATATCCTTCGAGCTTCAAGAGGAAGGAGAGGGTACGTGAGTTGCAACGTTGAAGGGCCGCCGCCATGCTCTGATGACTGCGGTTTGATGCAAGTTAGGCTACTTTCCCACAGTGTTATACGAAGCTTCAGTGCTTAAGCTTTGAGCGCTAAATGGCTTGCAAGATAAACTCAACATTACCATTCAGGTTGGAACAGGAAGGTCGCACCAACTGAACCGACTAGGGCCCGATAGAAACCACCTTACGTGACTACCAGATTATAGATCTAAGTATAAATGGTATAACAGCTCAATGAATTGGCGCAGACACTATTGTCTCCGGTCACGTTCCAGGTGCTTGGAATCCATTATGCATCCTTGCTATATGAAGTTGCTGTGCCATCGACGCTTGCGCTAGTATCTCCAAGGTATTTGGGTGCGGTTCCGGTACTGGCATCTGCATAGTTCCGGCACCATGGTAGGTTGCAGTTCAGGACCGTCAGGATACCACCTCTAGCCGTTTCTCAGAACTCCCTCTTTCACATACCAAATCTCAATCTCTTCATTACCCTTCAAGCCATCGTGGTGCTCAAGGCCAAACAACTGCCCTACTAGCCTACCACAGGAAGGAGATCATCTTGTCGAATACGCTGCCATGAGCTTTCGACAATACATGGAAAAAAATCTCACATGCTCACTCGTCGACTCGTGTACTATGAGACTCCATTATAATTAAAGATACTTACTGCTTGTGCGCACCCCCACTGAAGAATCTAATGTTCCATATTTGCTGTGTAAAACAAGAATGGTGAGATCAAAAATGACAACACAAATCGTACGCACTATACTGAGCCGAACTACTTGACAGAAGTGCGCTCAATACATCGTTAACTAAGGCACTACTGCTAATGTTCAGTTCAGTTCCTGATAGAATGACTGACCACTCAATCAGCGCTGGCAAGAGCAGTGTGCTCCAACTGCAGGGAAAGTCAAATGAGTATTCGAAAGACTATGGATACCTATATTTACCAGGAATTCAGAAAAGTAATCACCCCGAAGATGGTGCCTCTTATCTTTGCACATAACCCGAGTTGGCATTGTCAGCGCAATGGCAGGACAGAGCCCAAACAAGGAGATGCTCTTGGCTAGGCTGTGCCGCAGAGCCTCCTTCATCGAGAATGTGAGCAGGCTGGAAAACATGAAGTAAAAACATATCGGTGTGGTCTTGCGCAATATTCAACTGACCTTGTCGTGATCACGGACAATACGGTGGAGATTAGAGAAACCACTAAAGTCAAGGTCTCTGAGTACTCGAGAATTAATCCAACTGCCCAATCTGGGAGAGTCAGTGTACTAAAATACCAGAGGGCACCCATAAAGCGCGATTCAGAACAAAGAATAATAGTCTGTGACCACGGCTGCCACTAATGGAAAAGTATTAGGGGTGCCGGTGAAAAGCGCCTGTCGATATTCTTAACCAAACGGATATAACTTAAATTTGAATGGCAACGAGGCGATCGTTGACAACATTGCGAGTGAGCACGCTACTCGGCCACTGAGACTGCGCGATCAGAGAAGAAGCTATATGGTTGGCACATTTCGGGGCACCAGACACACCTATTTTTGTTTTTTTCTCGAACTACGCTTGACGCCCATGGCTGGATAGTATGTGTAGGTTGTTTGCATTTACGAGACGTTCTGCCGCATTTATTTTGCAAACTTGGATGATCAGCGATCCAGAGTCCCCTATTTCTTATCACGTAACCGCTCAGGACCCGAAAGTCACCGAAGAAGTGTCGAATAGTTGAAAAATATTCAAAACGATATTCCATTGGAATGAGGAGCCGTGTTGAACATGTGTGCCCTTAACATATGACATGAAAGTTGCTTAGTCAGTGCGGCGAAACGTATCTGCAATGCAGAGTGTATATGAGCTACATGATGGAACGGAACTGTGATCCCCAAAAATGAGCGCCGACTCTGTAAATGTGCGAGAGCACTTATTTGAATTGAAGACCCACCACCCGAATAGAACTGTCCGACAGTTTTACGATACTTACATCCCTTTTCCCAAGTTCTGACCTACAACTGTACGGCCGGACAGGTTGAAAAACTTCGAGATCTAAACACGGATCCGGGTTGACCAACTTCCGCCCCCGAGTCCCACTGACCTGAGTAACGAGGCATTGTCATTATGACACCATCTACATATGGTGAATCATCACATGCAAGAGGCCAAATAGCAAATATTGTAGCAAGTAGCTGTGCATGGGGCACTGTGGAAGGGCAATCGTCTATCAGAGCAAAGCGTTGGCTGTGTGGATTGAGCGTTTTGTGGTATTATCACCAGTGATGGCCCAGGGGTCTTTAAGTTGAGGCATAAATTAATAATACGCCCAGGATCCAATATGTGACACCAACCCGTCCGAGTCAGCCGAGCTACAGCGTGCAAATGGCCTCAGTGGAGCAGAATGGAACGTTGCTGTAATAGTGCATATACATCACCCCGGAGCCGGACCTGGCTTGGTAAGTCCAACGAGTATGGACCGAGGATCAATTTGGAACGTTGAATGCTGATTGCGGCTAGATGAATTCCTTCTATGGTATAGCTGTGTTCCATGGTTCTGACCTATGTATACGCGAGGTCAACGTCCGAGACCACTGTGGTGCATATAAAAATAAATGGAGAAGGGAATTAGAGAAGAGGACAGGCCAGCCGCACCGGCGCTACAGCAGAGCAGAACATCAATTGCAATTCATGCCGGCAGTGCAGTGGGCAACACCTCATTTCCTTTTCACCCGTCTAGACCAAACCAACTGACGTGTAAAAATGGCGAAGCTCAAAGTCAAAACGTGAATGTGTGACTGCCAAAACCAATGGTCGTTCAAGCAACAAATAAATACTGGAATCTTCCTCGTCAATATTAAGTCGTTTGTAAGTTTGGTTGATGATCCGCAGATTCAAACAACGAAACTTGCATATGTTGGATGGCCTGCGCAATTTGAGACAGTGATATAGAAAACATTCTGTACAAGCACAGGTACAGGCCACAGGCTTAGATGTAACCTCCCTTGCTCGTCCCACCTATGCATGACGAGATTTGATAGGGACTTCGGGATAATCACCGAAGCATCGGTATATAAATCTGAGCACAGGGGCTGCTGTGATCTGGCGACCAATAATCGCAGAAGATCGCGGCACTAGGCCGCCAGGAGGCATCTTCCAGTGGCATTGTCATGCTCTTAGGTAACTATGTGGGAACAGAGAAGCATGGAGAAAATGATGCGAGCGGCAGCTTTAGCGCCCAGCATGTGTAGGCAGTTATGTTGAAATGAATCGCTTTTGGGAGTGATATCGATACATAACCTTAGCATCCACTACCATTGGCAGGATATGCAGGTCAGAGCATAGACAGAGTGCGGTAAATGACCCTTGGAATATAATAGTGGGGGAGCAAGGCAGGCCGACAATTAGAACGCGTGGATATGCGTCCAACTTGAAAAGGCTTCCACGGGAAGGTCGTTGGAAAGGTAAGTGGGGAAAGGGGAATTGCATGATCGCCGCCCAGCTGCCTGAGAGTTCCTGATATCGCTTATGATTGGAGTCCCTGTTACACAACCCTAGCTCTAGGCAGTGGTCATACTAATATCCTGGCCAGTCAACTGAACCAAAAGCAAACCCGTGGTGCCACAATATAATGATCTTTTGAGTTCTCAGATTTTGAGCTGAGCAGCGAGTACTCCTGGATGGGCGAATTTTCATAAAATAGACACAAACAAGTCATAACAGCCAGCGTTTAGACATGTCGACGGCCATGATCCGCATCCGCGACTCCGCGTCAAGGTCCACTTATATACGCTGTATCAGTGCATGTCCGAGTCAACACTTCAAAACTTCAAGCAGTGCTAGTTTCAACGTTTCAACTGCCACACGAATATCATACCTACATCTCGTCCTAGTGCCGTGTCAAAACCCATCCTGCGCGTCAGCACTTCAGCTGTCAGTGTAACTTGTGTATATTTTCAATCTGTCATAATAATTCATTTTCTAACAGTGTCTCTTTTCGTCCTAACAGAATTAGACGTCGTACACAGCAGGTAGTAATAAAATCATTTACCAAGCATTTTACGAGCACTCCGAGTCTCCGAGAAATCATTTTTCCAGCCTGAAATCCTTTTATTTTGTCTCCTATAGCCTAGAGAAGAACCGGTATCGTGCTTTTGGAAATCCATATATACCATGACTTTTGTGAGTGCTTTGAGATATGGAGTGCACTCGTTTCAACCATCCTCTAGGAATTAATCAAACATGTATTCAACTTTTTCTATCCCAACGGGAGAGGGAGTCAAATCATCCAGATCAACCGCTGGGTGTTGGGGACTTAATCCCCTTCTATGGCCGCTCAGGTGCGCTGTTCGACTAATGCTCTTCGCGAACTCAAATTTGATAAGCAGAACAGGATTGTATAAAAGCTTATCTTCCGGCCTCTGTACAGACCATTCGGCCGTCACATGTTTCAAGCCTCCATGAGTCTTTGCTTGCCTCTGACACCAAAACATCGATCTGACATGGTCACAAGACAGGGCAAGTACAGACAACTTTCAGAGCCGTGCCCTCGCCCTGTTGTCGGTCTCGGATATGGGCACTTTCAAGCAAAAGAACACATTCATTTTACGAGACTATCTCAAGATAAAGCCGTGGCTCGAATGGTGGCTTTGTGATTCCCATGCTCAGACGTCGTTTCCACCATTTCGGCAGATGAAGACGGGTCTACTTCGTGCGATAAGAAAATATAACCTGCTCTGTTCAATACTAGGTCTCTAGCTTGCATGATTCGCAGTGTGGCCCCTTATTTAGCGATAACTCTAATACCACATCTGCAGGCGAGCTATCCCAAGTTGTAGCTCCTTTGTTGCCTGTTGACACGCCTCATCTGTTTCACGCAACTCTGATACCTGCGCCTCAGTCTTCATCGCTCCATTGTCATCGACAATGGCCTTCTTTTCGAAGCCATGTCAAGGTGGCCGCACATCCGCTCGCTGGAATTAGTGGACTGGCAGATAACACCCATTACATTCCGCGGGCTATTTGCAGCGCTCCGTCAATGTCCCCATTTGTGTTGGCTGCAGATATCAATGGACGCCGTGAATATCGATATCAATCCGGACACTGAGCCATTTCAGCATACCACCCTACAACAATTGATTCTGACGCGATCTGATTTAGTGGATGGTGAAGCTGTTGCTCGCATCATCTTCTCCTTGCTCCCTTACGTCGATAGAGTTCTATACTCGTGGCACGAGGTCAGTCGGCATCTCCAATCTTTCCAATCTTCTCCAGTCACTGGTCCCTATATTACAGGAGTACCTTCAGAGATCTGAGTTGGATACTCATGTTCGGGCAATTATCTGCATTTCTTCTTCGTTCGTACGTGCCTGATTTTGCTGCCGTTGACTGGCTGCAATTGTTCATCTCGTCTGACCATGACTTGAAATTGCTGTACCACAGGACCAACAAGGACCAATCTCATTTTTTATCTGGGGCCTTCCAGCAAATCCCTCGTGATTCCAAACCTGCACACGATTCTCCACTTTCAGCCCTTTAATATTATGGCGACGGAAGGGCTCTCTATGACTGTAATTACGAGCACTACAGTCAGGCATCTGATCAGTCTCCGTCATAGCTCATCGACCAGCCTGAACGTGGCGCTCTGGTGCGGAAACCTGAGTGTGGCACTAAAACCAGCACTGAATTCCGTAAATCTGGAACTTCTGCGAAGGGTCCTCGGGTTCTTGCAAGTGAGTAATCAATACCTTGAAATGTCAATATAACAGTTTAAAAATAAGCAGTCTCCCAAACCACAAAGAGATCTGAATCAGCTGATCATGAACATTGAAACCCTCGGACAAACCGTTGTCTTATATGTGAGTGATTCCATCATTGTGTACTTGTAAGTAAATCGAACCTTTGCATAAACGACAATCCCATAGTCACAACAGCCAGCTTCCTGGCCACCAACAGAATTCCGAGTCGAACGAAGCCAAACACGATGGACGAGTCTCTTATATTCAACAATAAGATCCACTACGATGGGATCGTCCCTTAAACTATGCGAGCTACTTAAAGGCGAGTCCCTCGAGACACTGACCGACCATTCCTCCTCCCTCCTCTCATCCAACTTCGCTCTGAACGGTACATCCTGGCAGTTACAACTGCGTCATCGATGAGTAGCTCATCACCATCACCTCGAAAGCACCCGATGGATTTCATACGAAGTCCACCGCACCACCGGTGTTGGAGATTCCGTTAGGCAGGGGACAGATCCCGCATTCTACTGCTTCCTGACGGATGATCTGCACCTATTAGTATTTCACATCGACGAAAAACTCTTTTACTGTGCTGATCGTCATGGAATTCGAGACGCACCTCAGATGCAGGGAGGTGTTTGCTGGGTTCTGGATTGAGGCGCCGAGGTAGGGATGTCTACTCGTAGCATGCATGAATTCACGCACCATCGATACTAGTTTGAAGGACAATACGCACGCCATATGCATTCCATTTCCGGTCATTCGACACGTCATACATCGCGATAGCAGATCCCTCCCTTCGATCCGACCCCATTAGATATTATGCCAACTTGGCATTACGCGTACCTCGATGCCATTGCGAAAGTTCACCCATCATTTATTTAGCACCCAGTGTCTATCGCACCAAGCGCCAGCTCTGCGTCCTCGCTGGTAAATCTTCTTTTACATCACAGAGCTCGCTGATATCGGATTGCAGGCTATTAGTACTAGTACTAGTAACAGCGGGGACAGCGAGAAATTTTGTTTAGGCTGGTGGGCCCCTACTAGCTTTTCCATTTTTCGCGGTGTCCCCTGGCGAGTCCGAGTCTCCGAGTCCCCGCTTCAAGGTGCTCCTCGTGGAGGTCGAGCTTGAAGTTTTTTATTTATTTTAAATCCAATTTATTGTCCTTTAGGGTCGTAGACCCTATGTTGGACATAGCCCTATGCGCGGGGGGCTTACTCCCGCTTATCTATCGTATGTAGTGTAATAATCTATCTTGGTGTTGAGTGGGTGTACGCGTACTCCGTCGGCATGTTGTCGGGCAAAGGCCGACGCCGATTTTGTACAGAGGGAATGATGTAGTGGTATGTAGTAGTAGGTTGGGAGTATTGGTTGGCGTTGTACGCGTGTTGGTGTTGTCGCGGTTTTGATCCTGGGGTCCCTGGCCAACTTGGTTCTCCTTCTGCTTCTTCTCTTCTTCTACAGTGACTAAGCGTCCTGCGCTAGTCTTTCCCTCCTGTCTCGGAGTGTTGAGTGTTTTACATTTGTTCTTGTATGTTCTGTCTGTTATGTGTGTGCTTGAATCATTTACAGTTTTTATGAGTCCGAAATCTCACTGAATGTAGTCTTGAACCTTCCTGTGCTGTTGATATATTGCATTAGTGGACTGATTGCCTCTTCTGATGTGAGCAGATAGGTGAGGGAGTTCGCTTTGCAGCATAGAGTGTTGGATAGTATGTGGTGTTCTCTTGTGTACTGATGGCAGTCAAATAGGAAGTGAGGAATGGTTTCCGTTATCTCTGGACAGAATGGGCAATGAGGCGAGAAACTTTTTCCTATATGATGGAGGTGCTGGTTGAGAGGGGAGTGGTGGGTTCATAGTTGGGTGAAGATGCTGGTCTGGCGTCTTGGGAGGTTGGAAACTAGCTTGATGAACTTGTTGGATGGCATGCTGGGGTTGATGGCTGATGAGTGGGCGTATCAAGGCGATTTCTTCCATGTTTCTGCCCATCTTACATTTAGGTCTGATTGGTGCCATTGTTTCAGGGCTGAAATGCTGTCCGGTAGCTTGTCGACCTGGAGGAATGACGGTAGTCGTTTTCTCGGACTTGACTTTCTCATTCCTTCCACTGCCTTCTTTGCTGCTTCATCTGCTATTTTGTTTCCCTCTACTCCCTTGTGTCCTGGGATCCATCTTATCATGAGGTCAAAGTTGAGTCCTCTGTCATCTCTTTGCTTAGCTAGTTGTGCTGTGAGGTTGCGGAAATGCTCTACTAAGTATCCACCCAGTTTCATGTACTGACTCTCACCGGATTGAATAGCTGCTTGATTGTCAATGAATATCAATGCCAGATATGTCATGTTCCTTTCCGTGGCTATGAGCTTTGCTGCAAGTGTTAGGCCTATGACTTCTGCCTTGTATACTGTGTGTTTGCAATCTGAGCCTAGGTGATACCTCAGTATTCTTGGCGCTTGCCCTTCTTGCAGTAGGACTGCAGCTGCTCCTATCTTTCCATTATGACCTGAGCTGTCTGTGAAGACCTGGACTTTGTCCATCAGTTCTTTCTGCTCCTTTATAGCTTCCTTCTCCTTTCTTGTTATGTGAGTGCGATAGACATTTGGTCGTTGTTTGTCTGATCTGCTGATAGGGTCAAGTGTTTTGATGTCCTTGGGAAGAATTTGGTAGGTGGCTATGAGGTTGTGGAGTGATGATCGATGACAGGTTGTGTTTTGGTATCTGATGATGTGTTGCAAGGGTGTGTATATTGGGTGTCACTGCAGAAGGGTAGCAAGGTGAAGGGTGGCTTGGTGACATACTTTCTGAAGGAGGAGAGAGACCGGTAGGAGGTTGGCATGGTTGTGTAGGTGATCTGTGGCTGTAGTTCTCATTGCCCCAGTGATGCTTAGCACAGCTATTCTTTGGACTGTAGCTAGACGCTTTGCTATACCTATTGAACCTCGTTGTTCCTTTATTGTCTCATTGCGATAGATCAGTTTGAACCAGACGTTTGCTCTGTAGGTGAATTTCAGTATGGCCACAGTGAGGTATAATTGTCACATGAGTTTTGCCGATATCCCATTGGCAGGCCTCGATAGTCAATGTAGCTGAAGTACGTACTCTGTGCCTTTAGCTATAGCATGTCCTGTGTGATGTTTCCAGGTCAGTTCTTGATCAACTATTAGGCCAAGGAATTGATGATGCTCAGTTGGATGTATGGTGGTGTTTTGTGTGACGATTGAGGGGTGGGTGCGTGTCTTGCTGTGGGTGAAATTGATTAGTGCAAATTTATTTACTTCAAACCTTGAGTTATGATCTCTTGACCATTGGAGTGCTCCATCCAGTCTTTCCATCATGTCTTTGAGCATGTTGTGGGTATCTTCAAATGATGGTCCTACAGATATGTATGCCATGTCATCTACAAAGGCTAGTGCTGTTTCGTTGTTGTAGGGGTTGGCTATATCAATAAGGTCAGTGTTATATATTAAATAAGCAATCATAGATAGTGGGTCTCCCTGTCCTATTCCGTTGTGTACTTGTATCCATTCCAAGATTGAGTCATTGAATTTTAGTTGCATTCGACATCCTGATAGCATCCTTACCGTGAATTGAACTATTTCCGGGGGTAGGCATCATTTCTTCATGTTATGAGCCAGTTGGTCAGTTACTGCGTTAGGGAATGCTCCTTCGATGTCGAGGAACAGTACTGAAGCTACTTTTCTGCTGCACCAGGCATTCTTGACGGTTAGTTCCAGCAGGTGAAGTGAGTCCGTCGTTGTGCATCTGGGTCATCCTCTGAAGTGGGTGTTGGGGAGAAGATTGTGGTGTTCCATGAGATCTGAGACTCGTTCAGCTATGATTGCCGTTAGAAGCTTGCACATTGTATTGATCAGAGTGATAGGCTGGTATGCTTTGGGGGTCATATAGTCCACTTTCCCTGGTTTCTTAAGGACCGCTGTAGTGAATTCTCGCCATGGATCGAAGTAGGTCCCAAGAGTGAAGACGGCATTGAATAGGTGTTTGAGGTATGGAGTTAGTATAGCTGATGCCCGTTTGAAGACAATGTTGCATACTCCATCTGGACCTGGTGCTTTGTAAGAGCTGGTGTTAGTTATCGCTTTTGCAATTTGCTCTTCTGTGATCTCTGTGAAAGAAGCAACTGGGTCTAGATAGTTGTAGTTTGGGGGAACTGAGCTGTTGTCTGGGGGAGGAGGAAAGAACACATTAGCAAGGGCTTTGCTCTTTTCAGTGTTAGTGATAGCTTCGATCAGGTTGCCGTTCTCGTTCTTGACTTTGAGGACTGGGATGCTAGATCTTCCTCCGTCACTGTAGGGAGTTGTGATGTATCAGTTTGCTGTGTATACTGATTGTTGGTCCAAGTCCTTTAGGTACTCTATCCAATGTTCCTGCTTCATCTTGCAGATCGCTTCCATTACTTGATTTCGATATTGCCGGTGTTCTGCGTGGCTAGGGTGCTCAGGTAGTCCTCTCATTCTGTAAGAGATATCACTTAGCTTGTTTTTCCTTTTCATCATCAGCATTAGTTCTTTCATCCACCATCTCTTTGCATGTGGGCTTGGCTTTGTTTTTGGAACTTTCTGCTTGATAGTTAGACTGATAGCAGTTTTGAGGTTAGTGGTGGCAGCCTGGAACTGTTCTTCTGTTGTGATGACTTCTGGGTCTGGAAATTCAGCTAGGTTTCTATTGAGGGTGCTGCAGAATTCGTCCCAGTTGACATCTCAATAGTTGAACATGACTGATGTGGATGCTTGAGGGATGGGGAGGTCTAAGGTGCTGTATATGGGTACATGGTCAGTACATGGAGGACATTGCCTAGGTGCCATGTCACAAAGGGTGAGTGAGTCGAGTGTGTGGGAGGTGCAGAGAACGTTGTCCGGTCTAGTCCAGTTGCTGCTGCTAGTCGATTGGAGTGTGGGTTTGTCTCTTGGTAGTGCCATTTGCAGATCATGGTCAGCCATTAACTCAATTATGTGTTGTGCTGCTTCTTGGGCCTCTGGAGGGGTGCAAAGGTGAGCGTTCCTGGCCTCTTCCCATAGGTGGTGGTGTGCATTGAAGTCACCTAGGATAACTAGGTGGTCCGTGGATGAGGGTTTGATGAGTCAGCTCTCCTTGTCTAGGAATGCAGTTAGTGCAGGTAGGACTTCCCGTTTCTTACTGTTGTCGTAGATGTTGACGATGGTGAGCTTTCCGAAGGTGCCCTGCATTTGGATAACAACCACATCCAAAGATGGGAACAGAATTTGCCTCCAGTTGTTGGTGTCTAGCTGTTTGTGTATTAATGTGACTGTGCATGATCGTTTGTTGTGGGTGAACCTATGCATAGGATATATGATGTTCCAGTCTGGGGTTGCCTTTGTGTTACCTAGAGTGTTGATGAAGGGTTCCTGGAGTGTGACTATATCAAAAGCTTTCACAGTGAATGGACCGCTTAGTATACAGTGTTGTGCTGTATCTGATTTGTTTAGATTTTCTTGCCATATTCACAGTCTTACTGATTGATCGTCGGGTGTGTTAGACATTAGTGAATGAGTGGAAGAGTTCTGGCAAGGGGGAGCAGGAGGTTAAGGCCATTGGGGGGCGCCTTGATGAGAATCCTGTGTTCCGTGGTAGGTGGGAGGTGCCTCTTAGTGGTCTCAATCCTCTTTGATCGAGGTGTCTGTCCAGTGTATCCTGGTTGTGGTATTGATCTGCTTGTCATTGTTGCTGTTGAGTTATGACGGGAGTGTTGGTTGGTTTTGGGGGAGCTAGTACTTGAGTCCACAGTTCGTCTGTTGGGAAGTAGGGCATGGTGTTCTCTGGATATCTTTTGTCTAGGTCCATGCATTGTCTCTTGAATTCTGGGCAACTTCGTTCCCAGCTGGCATGGCCCTCTTTTTCGCATGATATGCAGCATTGTCATTGCTTATTGTTGCATTCACTGGTTCTGTGGTCTTCAGAGCAGTTAGTGCAGGTATCCTGGTGAGATGTACATTCCTGAGCTATGTGACCATAATGTTGACACTTAGCACATTGAATGGGTTCTCTTCTATTCTTCTTTGCTTGTAGTCGGTTTTTGTTTAGGGTGACTCCATTGCGTATCGCTTTGTTTGCATTGTTGGGATTCTTGAGGGTAACTAGGAGATGGGTGACTCATTGTTGGTCTGCTCTCTTGTTGGGAGGTTTGATCCAACATGCCATTGATATGGCTCCTTCTTCCCAGTCGTTCTCTTGCTCGAGTTTGCAGATTTCATTTTCACTGTTAGGATTGAAAGTTAGTGGGACAAATTGTATAACTACCAGATATGCTCTGTCTTTGAAGACCACCTTCAGGTCTAGGTTCTTGATGAGTTCTTCTTTTACATCATTCTTTTTGAGGTAGTCAGCTGCCTCTGCTGTGGTCATTTCAATGATTGTTCCTCCATTGTGGTATTGGGTGACATTCTTGATGATTAGGTCCAGTGTGTTGAAGTTGATGATAGCTAAGAACGTTTCTTGAATTTTCTTGACTAGTTGTGCATGTGACACTTTATTTGGGGCTACTGGACCATCAGGGGCGACATTGATGAGGATCTGGTGGGCTTTGATTGCATCTCTGGCTGCTATATGGATGGTATGGTCGTTAGTGTTGTTGTCTAGTCCAGAAAGTAAAGCTGCCTTGTATCCGTTCTTTTGGGTTGTTTCCTTGACTAGAGTGTTACAGTTATGCTTGCCCCCTATTCATTTCTCTCATCTCTTACTGTATTACATCATGACCGCTGTCGCTGTCACTAGATGACTCATTTCTTCTATCTGTATTACATCATGATCGCTATCGCTGTCACTAGATAACTTATCTCTGACTCGTCCTTATCTCTGACTCGTCCTTATCTATGACTCATCATGCTTGCCCTAAAGCACTTACTTACTATATATACTTGGTCATGTACTCAGTAGAACTTCACTTTAATCTACTAGGTTCTCACCTGAAACATCCTTCACTTAGGACCTCCAATCCTAAGTCATCTGATCATCAATATTCAAGCCAAGGACACTCTCCTTAACTTGTCTTAATGACCCTTACATTTGTAAGGTCTTGATTCAACCCCAGGCATTGCTCTTATCGAGTAGCTGTCATTGCGACTATCCTAGTTCGTAACAAAAGATTAAAGTCTCCTATCGACCCTCTCTATCAATGAGGTCCCAGAACCAGAAACAGAACAAAGCAGAGAGAGACCAAGACGTCCCCTGCAGTAGAAACATCACTAGACCAGAATGATCAGGATGTCCACTAGCACCCCAGAACTTAAAGCCAGAGCACCCTCTACCTACGATGGGAGCCCTCAGCAGGCTTTACAATGGTTGTATGCAATTAAGGCATACTTTGCGCTTAACGCTACAATCTATAACACTGATGAGAAGAAAGTCATCACCACCCTTGTGTACATGACTGAATATAGTGCCATGGGTTGGGCACTTACCTTTTACACTGAAGTCGACAATTCCACCTCCAAGTCTTATGGAACTTTTGCGAACTTTGAAACCAAGTTCAAGGAAGCCTTCGTACCGGCTGATGCCATTGGCACTGCCATGAACAAACTCCGAACCCTGAAACAAATGGGCAACCTCACTTCCTATGTCACTAGCTTTAAGACCCTTGCTGCGCAGGCCTCCATAAAGCAAGATGCAGTCTTAATCACGTTCTTCAACGATGGATTAAAGAAGGGGATCGTTAATTCCATTTTCCAGATGGAAACCATTCCTACAGACTTCGACAAGTACGTTGCCACAACCATTAGGCTTGACAGTAACTATCAGAGAGGTGCCGCATTTTGACAGAACCATCATACCACCACTAGACCAACTGGACAACGTTATGTGCCTAGACCATCCATTGATCGGCACAACCCAAACACCATGGAGGTAGATCGACTCACGGAAGCCGAAAGAAGTGACCATATGAAGAAAGGATTATGCTTGACGTGTCACCAGAAGGGACATATGACTAGAGCGTGCCCACAGAAGAAGAAGATTTTGGTTTGTTGTGAAGAGATAGAGGACAGCAATAAAGAGGATGAAGATACAACGATCCGTCGCCTTGCCGAGGATTTTTGACATGGAAGACTGGATCGACGTCAGTATCTTCCGATGTACCTATCAGACTTGTACGAAGTATTGGAATCAGAAAGGAACTTCAAGTTCCTATTTCTCTCATCTCCAAAACCCGTCTGAAAACCATCGAAACAACCACTGTTATTGACTCCGGCGCTGCTGGAACATTTATTTCCCAAGAATTCGTTAAAACCCACGGAATTTGGACACACAAACTTTCGAAACCATTCCGAGTCACCACTGCGGATGGAAGCTATACAAAGGGGGGCGCTATCACCTGATATTGCATCCTCATTGTAAAAATTGACAAACAATCCATGATTGGGAAGTTCAATATCACACAGCTCAGCCATCGTGATCAGATATTACTTGGGATCCCCTGGCTACGTGCTATGGACCCAGTAATCAGATGGAAGGCGGAAGAGCTGAAGCTCCCCAGAACTGAGAAAAGTGATCAGATTGAGGAAGAAGTTGATATCGAATGAGAAAAGAACGGACTTCCACCCTTCTTCCGAAAACTCCAGGAGAATGATCCGAGACCAGAACTGATTCCAGTTGTAGTGCTGCCAAAGGCACCTCCTGTAGAGTCGGTCATGGCTGCATCACCCAAGGAATCGGCACCCCGAGCCACCATTGAAGAAATCCCAGATGAAGAAGCATCCCCAATACTCCCTAACCTTGATCCCATCCCTGACGATGATGACGACTCCTTTGACACCAAAGACGATGTATGGACCACAGATAATGCGCCACCTATATGCGAGATTGCTACGTACCACCTCAAGGATGACGAATTTTTGGTTGAGTATCCCAGCAACGCTTCCAAGCTCCGGGTTATTACCAACATCTCTATGGATACCCCCCTAACCAAAGACGGTACTAGCATCGCAGAACAACAAACTACAGTTACACCACTGTCATGGCCAACGGAATCTGAATATGTTAAAACCAGTAACAAGGCACAGCAATTTGCATTGGCAGCCGGGCTTGAACAAAAGAAGAAGTCATTCAAGGAGCTCGTCCCTTCCTACCTTCATGATTTCACTGATATCTTTGCAAAGGACGGCCTTAACCAGCTACCGCCTGAATGACCCAGTATAGATCATCATATTGAAACCAAACCTGGTTTTATTCCAAAGACGTCCAAGGTGTACCCGTTATCAGAAGCAGAGCATATGGCAGTTAAAGCCTTCATTGATGAAAACGTAAAGAAAGGCTTTATCTCCGAGTCAAAATCACCACAAGCAAGCGGTTTTTTCTTTGTGGGGAAGAAAAGCGGCAATCTTTGCCCCTGTCAAGACTATTGGTACATCAATGATTGGATGGTTAAGAATGCTTACCCTCTCCTGCTACCACTTTCGCTAGTCGCAAGGTTGCATGGTGCTAAATACTTCACAAAGATGGATGTTTGCTCTGGATACAACAATATCCGTATTCATCCTGATGATAGATGGAAAGCTGCCTTTACCACGGAATATGGTCTCTTTGAGCCAAATGTCATGTTCTTCGGTCTCTGCAACTCCCCCACCACCTTCCAAGTGTATATGAATCGGACATTCCAACAGGAGATCAATGAAGGACGGCTCGTCATATACATGGACGATATCTTGATTTTCTCCAATGATCTCGATTCTCACCACAAACGAACCCGGTGTGTCTTAGAAAAGATCTGCCAAGAGAAACTCTTCCTGAAACCAGAAAAATGCACATTTGATGCACAAGAGGTAGAATATCTAGGAATGATCATCTGCCCCGGATGTGTAGCAATGGACATTGCCAAGACCGACGGTATTCACAACTGGCCTATCCCTACAACAGTAAAAGAAGTTCAGTCATTTTTAGGATTCTGCAACTTCTATCGAAATTTCATCTCTCATTATTCTGACATTGCCAGACCGCTGATCGACCTCACCAAGAAGGACATGAAGTTTCTATGGTCAGAGCAATGCGCATCAGCTTTCTCCACTCTGAAAGAATGCTTCCTCAAGCAACCGGTCCTTCAAAACCCCAATCCAAGCAGACAGTTCGCAGTAGCAACTGATGCGTCGCTTGTCGCTACCAGCACAGTCTTACTACAGACTGATGAGAATGGTGTTTATCACCCATGCGGATACCTGTCACAAACGTTGAATCCCGCAGAACATAATTATCAGATTTTTGATCACAAACTCCTTGCTGTCATTCGCGCTCTAACTGAATGGTGTCATTATTTGGAGGGTAACCCTCACCCCGTCATCATCTTCACAGACCATAAAAATCTGTTGTATTTTAGAACTGCCCAGAAATTGACCCAACAACAGGCCCGATGGCAATTGATTTTGTCCTGCTATGATATCGAACTCCATCATATTGCTGGAACTAAACTCGTCACTCCTGATGCACTCTCCCATTGTCCTGATCACGGAGTGGATTCTTTGGAGGATAACACCGATGAAACCCTTCTTCCTGACTCCATGTTCGTCCGCCTTCTTGATGTCGAACTCATGACCTCCCTCGCAAACCCCAACCCCTCCAACCCCAATCCCATCTTCCAAGCCGCCTCTGATGCTTTGGATGGCCTTTCTCTTCCTCCCATGAAATCCACCCTTGCGGATTGGTCTATTAAGGATGATATCCTTTACTATAAGGATCATGCCTACGTCCACCCTGCAGGTTGGCACCTTATTTTAGAATGATGTCATGATCATCCCACCGCTGGTCACCCTGGGCGTTTTAAAACTGAAGAATTAATCAAACAGGATTTTTGGTGGCCCTCTATGGGTACCTATATCTGTAAATACGTTGAGGGTTGCGCCCTCTGTCAGCAGATGAAATCTGATACTCATCCGACTACACCTCCCCTCATCCCAATCCCATCCGCCACCACCACTCCCTTCACCCAAGTCTCGGTTGATCTGATCACCGACCTTCCTCCCTGTGCTGGCTTTGATTCTGTCATGGTCATGGTAGACCATGGGCTTACGAAGGGGGTAATTCTTATCCCATGCACTAAAACCATCACCTCAGAAGGGGTTGCCAAGAAATTTTTCAAATGTGTCTACCGTCAATTCAGCCTGCATGAAAAAGTCATTTCTGATCATGGGCCACAATTCGTGTCAAAATTCTCAAAAGCCCTTGCCAAGCTTTTGAAATACGACATATCCGCATCCACCGCTTATCATCCACAAACTGATGGTCAAACTGAACAACTTAATCAGGAACTCGAAACATATCTTCAAATCTATTGCAGGAATCACCCTGAAGATTGGGTGGAACACCTTCCTATGGCAGAATTTGTGCATAACCACCAAAAGCACGACTCTCGCAATGCCTCGCCATTCTTCCTAATGATGGGA